CTGAGGAGTAATTAGTTTTCACCAGTGGGGTGTCGGCTACAATAGGGTCAAAGCCCACCTTTTTCTGGAAGCGACTACTGACTGATTATGGGTAAGAGTGCATTTGTCAACAATGCCTCTTGAGTGGTGCTTACATTGAATTCGATTGTGACATATGATATTTTGGCTTTGTTCACATTTTACTTTGAGCGAGTACTGGATGCAAAGGGTTCGGCTAACTAGTTAGAACGAAATATTACAGTAGTACAGCAGGTATCATTTGGAAACACTGCGCTGGTGTTATTTACAGGCACAGTATTTAGCAGCACATGCATGTAGCGTATTAGTAATGATCGATTGAATGTAGCTTTATTATATGAATCGTTGTTTTGGTTGTGAGTGCTGGTAGGGTATGCTGCTGCTTCTCATGCGGACCATATCTAAGAGGCACCAACACACTTTCTTGCCACGTTTTTATTTTGCATCTATTTTTTGTTTTTTATGGTATATGCTTCCTCATGCCTAGAAGGAGCTGTGATGTGGGCGGAAGGGCTGTCGCGTGAACCCCCTCCATCAGAGGTCAGGCTGAAATTGATGCACCGTTGAGTGGGGCACGCGACAGAGCCACTGCATATCTCCCTTAGCAGTGCTTTGGATTTAAACCGTAGACCCTGGACTCAACAGCAGACTGCAGCCAGTACCGAACAGCGTAATAATGTCAGTGTGCTGAGTCTTGTACAACGATTGCTTTGTAGAGAGCCCGGCTATGTAACGAGCAGCACAAAAATTTAATTGAGTTAAACTAATCCATAACTAGCCTAGGAATATTGATAAGTTGACACATTTACGTACGTAGATGACTAGACAGGACAGCTTTATGGTTGCTGCGGATGGTGGGGCTGTTCCGCGCGAACTGCGCGTTTGGCGCCAACCTTTTTTTTCTTTCGGCAAATGACTCTCAGATTATTCGTTACTATTCCTTTTCCAGCAGTTGATGTTTCCACCGGCGGAGGGGGAAGAACTTCACTCTTGCACGTATGCGGCGCGCTTTTTTGACATCACCGCGGCATCAGGACGGAGCTAAAGGTAATGCTACTGCACCACTATGCTCCCGGTCAGCAGCCGAAGAGAGAGATAAAAGAGGATTTGAACAAGTAGTGGATGTTTTGTCGTGAGCTGTTGGTAGTGGTGGAGTAGCAAATACAGAACAGTCCACAGGGCGAAGTACTTCAGTCAGTGAAACTAGCGAAGTAGTCCCCTTCGATTGCGAAACGACGCAAACGTTGTACGTATAAGATCATAACCGACTGCTGGCAGTTTGCCAAAGGTTTGGATGTCCTGACCTTAGGCCAGCGTTCAGACTTCGCGAAGGCAGCACTTCGGTTCGCGCGTTCAACGTGGTCGATGCAGTAGAAAGCCGGATCGATCGTCGCCGAACAGCGCGACCGAAGCGCTGCCGTCGCGAAGTTTCTGAACGCTGCCATGATAGCGTTCTAGTGCTCTACAATTACAAGCGCTGTCGACGCTTCTGAAACGCACTCCTACCCAAGATGAGCAAGATCATCACATCGTTCAGCCTGAAACTGCCGAATCCTCCCAAATCACACTCTGATCAGTTCCAGCGCCCGAAAACGCAAAAATATTTTGCTGAAAGTTTGACTATAGGGTAATCCGGAGATTTCGAATACGACATTACTTTCGGCGCTGGCGCCGTTTGGGCCATTAGGCGCAAGATAGTCCCATATCTTTCTCAGCCGAATGATGAAATCTTTGTATACGAGGGTTAGGCGGACACACTTATCACGCGAAACGGCATTTATTTCTGACGTCTTCGTCATTTGCGCACCACAAGAACGCCATTTGGACTTTTTTTCTAAAACCAAAAAAAAAACTTGCAAAGTTTGCTTGTTGCCCTGATGACGAAGAATGGCACTTACTTATAGACAGCAGCGCAATTTTACACTCTCGCTAAATCTGGCAGGAGTGATTCCCTTCATGCGGAGACTCAGACTCAAACTAACCCCGTAGGACCAAGTGTTAATCGATTTTGGTGATGTGGGGTATTTTGGCGCCGGCGCCCTGTGGCCACGAGCACCAGGCAGTTTCAGGCTGAGCGGATGTAATAATCTTGTTCACTCGAGGTAGGAGTAGTGCAGTGGAGCCGAGCGCGTTTTGTGATTGTAGGGCATTGAAGCGCTGCCATCGCGTGTTGCGATGAACTTTCCAACACTATCGTTGGATGAACAGATACCTTTATCATTACCCTTGCTTTTTTGTTGCCGACACTGTGCAGATTCAATCGGTACTGGATTCGAAAATTTTCACGTCCATGATTCTTTACTAGAGTACGTCCATTATAGGCCCAAGCTTAGAAATAGTTAGTAACAGCATCCAGCTAAACTTGCTTTTGTAACCTTTTGCAGGGCTACCTCTCTAAAATTCCTAGTAAATGTGACCACTTCCCATTTTTAATGTAGAAAATATCATTGTTGCCTCATTATCCCCTAGAGCTGCATTAACAAGCTGAACGCAGCGGTAAAATGAACGATGGCGTAAGGAAGCAGAGCGCAGAGGAACAGAGCAACCGCGAGGGAGGGTCCCAGCGCGAAGCAAGCGTTTTGCAGCATCATTTCATTTTTAACGGCCAGAGTGTTTTTGTACATCATGGTGTCAGCATTTACTTTTTCTATGTTTTTTATCATCTCGTAGCTTTTTCGTTGCACGTTACTTTTGAGTAGAAAGAGGCATACGCTTCTTTGTTGAGGAGTAATAGTCATCCGCACCAGTAAGGTGTCAGCATCACAATAGGGTCAAATCCCACCTTTTCTGAGTGAGCTGCTACTAGATTGATATGCTCCTTGAATGGTGCTTTTCCTTTGGATTTGGATGTGGAATCTGATATTTTTGGCCTTGCTCACCACTTTGGGTAGTAGTGGTTCTCTTAGGCACAATGAGTTTGGCTAAGTAGGTAGAACGTACCATTTTAGTAGCGTATCATTGTAAACACAGCCGCTGGTTTATTTACTGTTATCCTGTCTTGTGTTGAACAAAGGCATGATCGCAACTCTCCAAAATAAGCAATATCCCATGGAATGCAAGGTGGTCCACGTTTTATGAGATACGCAACAACGTCCACTCCATCCATGAGATGTTCCATCCCATGGGTTTGTATGTTAACATCGGTTGCTACGTTGACTGGTGGTAGCAGTGGTGGCCTCAGCGAACTCGTCCTCAATGTGTTATGCGACATCATGCAACTTAGCCTGAGGCGACATTGAGACGATGACGCGATGACGCGATGTCGCGCGTCATCGCGATGTCTGATCGTTGCCTAACCATTTATCAACACGATAACTTATTATACGAAATGTACTGAAATACATGCATGATCCCTTACGTGCTACTGTGTAAACACCCATCGCGAACGGCTTATTCGTGTGCATTTTCAGGAATGCGGTACGAAGTCAACGACAAGGTGCTTTGCAAGCATGGATTGTTCTTCTATGAGGCGAAGATAACCGATGTCGTAGAAGAGGACGGCGAATTAATGTATACAGTGCATTATCTGGGTTGGCACAAACGATACGACGAGCGAATTCGTCATTCGAAATGCCATGGAATGTTCTTGCCGCTGACCGAAGCCAATATCGCCAAAGCGAAAGCAGACATTCAAGAGGCGAGTACTGCTAAGATAAAGCGTAAGAAAGAGAAGATGGAAGGCGACTATGCACGAAAGAGCGAAGATGGAAGTCGTGCATCAACTTCAAGTCCAGGTACTCATTTCCAGTACTTCAGCTCGTAGACTCACAAGACCTGTTTTTCGGGACATGAGGCGCATTTCGCAGAGTCGCACGCGACAATGCGCGGGAAATGTTGGTGGACACAGAAACAGTTCTCTTTTGGATGGTTCAGTCTTCCAAAAACAAAAAATCTTTTGAAATCTCAGTCGGTCGTTAATATGGACAAGAACGAATAAAAAAAGGTACAAAATCGGAATGGGGAAGAAAGGCTTGAGGCGTTCAAAGCAAAAGTGAGCCTTATACCCCAGGAAATAGGGTTTATCTAAAGCCCCGTTCGTACCCCTCGGCAGTGAAGAATTAACCAAATAGATTGGATACTTATCAGGAATTGAAGAAATGGTGGAAAGGGCTAGACACCTGTCGGTCTGAAGGACTTGACGAATTGCGGAAATGAATTGATATGTATCTAATCTTTTTCGTCGTTTCTTCTTCGGTGTAGCTATGTAATCGCACTAAGCTAACCTCGTAGGAACACCTTCTGAAGACTTGTAATGTCGTGTAAAGTCGTGTAATTCGGAGTTCACCCATTTTCCGTAAGTTTGCAAAGTTATCGTGTCTATCCGAACCGGCTCGGGGAGACTTTTCTTTCACGTGTTTACGAGAGCCTACACGTTTCAGGTGTGGAAGCTGGAAGAATTAATAACTGGCAAAGCGCTCTCCTGAGCTGAACAAACTTGAGTGCTGGAGCAAAGCACGTCGTACATTGGGGATTCCAAGCTAAGCGGTTGTGCTTGGTTGCTGGAGAGACAAGAAGCTAACTTCAGATTACCGCCACGGTACCGTAACCTAAGACAGCGCCCTTTGAATTGTTCGTCCGTCGTAAGTGCATTGAAAACATCACCACGGGAACTGAAGTTATAATTTCCTTTGTAAGGTTGGAAAAAAAAACTGGTGTGTTTCGGACGTTGCTGTGATAGGCCTAATCTGTCTTTCTGTTACTGTTTTTTGTGTGCTCTTGCTCAAAGCACTTTGGTGGTGCTGCACGCTTCGTCCTAATCAGTATGGGATAGAGACGACTTTCAAAGCTCCCTAAAGTAAACATTGAACTGAGGTGCTACTTTCCAATTATTAGTCTCATCGCCTCGAAAGATGGAGTAGGTGGTATGTAGGTGGTCAACGATTCACACACTACGAACTTTTGGAGGCTGGGAAAATTTTCCTTCACTAAACTAGCTACGATTAGTAGAAATCATCAATGGAAGTAGAAGATTAACATTCACAGTGAAATAGAGAGCACAAATGTTGAGACGGGCACAGCTAACAACAGCCTCCAAGATATGAAGAATCTCTGTTGAAAACTGCCACCAGAAAAACGTGTATCTACAAGAAAGGTACAACGCTGGGAGGGTTGGAGGTTATCTGAAAGTATTTTGGTACTGCCAGTTACGATCCTGGAACCACTAAAAATTTTATGAAGAAGGCGCGAAATGGTATCGTCAGCGAATGTCATGTTAGTAACCGAGATCACTACTTTTTTACGTCTACTTGATAGTGGCGTTTTGTTTGCTTTACTCAGGTCACTAGCGTGCAGAGAATTTTCATGCAATCGATTGGGGGAAAGCATTTCCAGAAAGAATTTCCCGAATCTGGAGAGAAGGCTAAAAACAATTCGGCCTCTTCACACTTCATGTATTATATTCTCGCAGTCGAAAGCTAGGAAGAAACGTTGTAACCGTAGTAAGCGTAAACGAGACAGGGGTCTCGGAGACAGCGGTTTCTATATGTTTGGCATACGCTGCGCATAATGCATATTTTTGCAGCAAATTCTTGTAGTGGTACTACGTGAGGGTGTTATACCGCACGTCCACTGCGGAATTACACACTTAACTTGGGCGCCGGCTTCATGGGTTACGGTATCGTGGTGGTAATATTGAAGCTAGCTTCTTGTGCTGGAGAGAGGGTGGAGGGGCATTGTATTTGCTTTCGAGAAAATAATTCCGGTTCTTATCGTTACCGGCGCTACATATTGTATTGTTACTGCTATTTTTTCACGTGAATGCCTACCGTCTTGTTCGCTGCGGATGACGGTTGCATCAGGAGAGGGTTTTGACGCGACGTCAGCCCTTCTTTTGACAAACAAGAAGACTATCTCTCTTTCATACCAGTCGTTTTCCACCAACTGTTGCCACTTACCCGCTTCAGCAACTGGTAGACAAGCGGCTGGCGCTGACTCAGCCTCACTGCCACCCAGGGAACATCATTAGTTGGAAATTTTCGTCGAGTGCTTATGACCGCCTTCCCCCTTTTTTTCTTGGGGGGGGAGGAATTGGTACAACCCACCGTTCCCTCGGAGGGAGTGGGGGAAGAGCATGTGAAAGGGAAAATCTGAGGGGAATTACCTTAGCCCATCTTACCTACTATTTCTCAAATTTGCCCCAGTTTCCTAACAATAGCTTCGGAATTTCCCCAAAAATTTTCGATTTTTCTACTTTTACCCAAGAATCTTGCTGTCTGGGGGTATATAGCGGACATCAAACATGAAAAACCACGGAAGCTGAGCAATCTCTCTCTAATGGTCAGGAGGGGAATACGACCCACCTCTTCGCAACATCCCTGAAACTACGACCCCTCCCACTCCAAACCACCAAATACGACCCCCCCCCACCCTGTTGAAAAATCCCCGACAACGATGGGCCCTGCTTACACCTCACCCTCTCATTATTCGCAGCGAACAAGACCGTACAAGTTGATAGCTGGTAGCTGAAGAAGCGTTCATACCTTGCGACACTTGTGGATCATGGCCGAAAAAAGCAGGTGTCCGAGTCAAATCGTAGAATTGAAAAATCTTCAGAAGAGCTAGGGTACGTATTGGATTAACCTAAGCGGCGAATCGGAGATCTATCGATACGTACTTGACCATTTTAAATAAAATTTTGGATTCTTTTTGTCGCAAGGTATGAACAACTATGAGATTGCGTCTTAATTTTTTTTCGGTTCAATGGCAACTTTCGTTTAGGTGCGACGGTCTTGGCTTCGCCTGGTTCAGACATTAATGCGCTAGACGAGATGTTGAGCGATTTGCCGGAATCGTTGAAGAAGATCCTGGTTGAAGATTATTACGCTGTTGTGGTACATGGAAAACTAGCAGTTCTACCAGCAAGAGTGAATGTCTACAACATCGTTGAGAAATACCTGGACTTCAGTAAGAAACTCTTCCCGCAAAATACTGAAATTGATGTGCAGTGAGTTATTTCTAATTTTACCACGTATGTGAATGTCTCATGTTCAAGGGTTAGTGGAATCTGCAGGAGAATCTTACGCTGTGCTTTTTTAGCGCAGCTCATTTGGTCACTTATGTGGGCGACTGCGAGGGTTTTGTTTTTGGGATGAATTAAGTATGACAGTTTGGCGGCTCTCTGACGGTCTCTAGGAGCTGAACAAATGGTTGAAAGCGGTTCTTTCTCAAGGGGCTAAAGGAACGCCCGCGTTCATTAGATGCCTTTACTGGACATGATAGTCCTGCACGCAAGGTAGGATGTACTACATCCGCAGCTCAAAATGCATGAGGAGAAAGCGCCCCGCTCGCGCGAAGTCACCGCTACGCGCATTGGCCATCACAACGCCCAGTCTTCATTTCTAGAAGCTTCCCGGCAGTGCTATTGCATATTGTTTTCCTCTGTAAATTTTTCTCTTGACAAAACTACTCGAAATCTGTTTGTACGGACCTCTGTTGCAGACATGAATTCGGAACAACGCGTATTGCCAGTGTGGACACCCTTTGTGCGTCTGCTCTCAATCTGCGAGATTATTTTGACTTAATCCTTGGCTATCAGCTGCTGTACAAATATGAAAAGCCTCAGTACGAAGCTTTGGCAAGGCGTGAGCAGGAGAAATTAGATGGAGAGTGGTGGAAAAAGCACAAGGATTTTTTAAAAGGACAGGGAGCATGGGCTCGCAATGCCACACCTCTGGATCTATTGCAGACGGTAAGCATTGTTGAATCCAAAACATCCTTTCTATGACTCATTTCTTCATTCCAACATGGCTCTAGTTCCACTTCCCGAATTTCGTTCAGGAACATGGTCCGTGCCCTCCAAAGTTTCGTCCATCGAAATTCTACGGTCTTTGTCATCTGCTACGCTTGCTGGTTAAAGTACCGATCTTGCTACGCCCAAGGTGGACGTGGACGGATGATCATGAACTCATGACGCGTGCTGCGAGTATCCTCGATTTCAAGGCGTTCCTTAGACAGAATGCACCATTTATCTTGGATTTCAATCGGGACTATAAGGTCGCGAGCGCTGATTACGTGAAGTCAGTTGGTTGAGAATTTTCTCGCGCTTATTCTAGTGTGACCTGTTCCTCACGTTTTTTCCAATGTGACTTGTCTATGAAAATGGTAAAAAAACTGGGTCTCTCATGAACTATGTATGTGCCTATACTTGGCATGAAGTTGTTTCCTTCTGAAATTTTGTTGTCTGCTTGTTGTTTAAACACTTCACTTCATTTCATTGCTCTTCTTATTCAAATTTTTTGATGGTTCATTTCTGACTCCTTGACCTCTGAAGAAAAATAGTAGTTTTGCATCGAATAGTGTCCGATTCGGTTTGAAAAGTGTCAGATTCGTTCAGACTCATAATGCTTATGTGTAGATTATGTGTGTGAAAGGATCATTAAAATCGGATGTCGGCGAATAAAGTTATGAGATGTCGATATTTTTTATGAATAATAAGTGGGCGGAGTAGTGCGGGCGGAGTTATGAGGTGTCGATATTTTTCATGAATAATAAGTGGGCGGAGTCGTGGGGGTGGAGTCAAGTGATCTACATAGTAAAAGTACATTCAAAGGTCTATGTGTGTAATAGATGATAAATGTGAAAATCTAGTATACATGCAGTATAGTGTAAAATGTACTTAGTGGAAGTGTAAATTGTGTTGCGGCAAAAAGGGGCGGGGTTATCTGGGGGCGGGACGTGTAATGGCTTCCGTTGTGTGCTGTGCCATATGTGCGGTGGGCGCTTCGCGCAAGATTTCAAGAAAAAAGCCGTTTCCTAATCCTAAAAGTCTTTGTTTGAGTCCTAAAAAACACTGTCGCATTTCGACACGTTGTTCGTAAGTACTGATTGTTTTCCTAGTGAATGAAGTGGTTGAGAAGATTGTATCACTTTGGACCCGCTCGCGACAGGCCGATGTTAATTTGTAGAATTTCGGTTTGCAGTCATATGTCCTTTCAACGTCCAACAAATCCACCACGACTACAGGCCAGCATTGATACAGATGTTGTTTAGCCCCCAGCTGATGCGGTCGACACTACTGCACCACATAGGGTAAGAGCTTTGTAGTTCCTAAAATACGAGAGCACTGGGCGCTTACTTGCTTGGGGGGGGGGGGTGGAGCCATTGGACTTCGAGATGACGCTCGACAACGAGCTACAACTGCAGCGGCGTTCCAATACTATAGACAGGTATCCATCGGCGGCGGTCGCCTGTGTTGTGAGCTGCTTTTACGCAGTCTGATGCCCTCTTAATCTCCTACACTCTTCCAAAGTTAGCGCCCAACGCTGATCGACACCGCCTGCGGCTGCACTCTTGTCTTTAGCTTGGGAGGACTACTGCAACGGTAGATCTGCCGTTCGCTATCGCGAAGTCTAAACGCTACCGAGTTAAGGACACCAGGCCAAGGCTACATTGGTTGTGGTTGTGTGAGTGCGTCCCCCCTTCGCGCTTCAATCGTGGTGATCGCATTTTGACGTGCTGTTGCCATGTCGTGATGTGTGACCGCCTTCTACGGTTGATTTCACATTTTTTTATGAAGGGACTATGGTATTGAGAGGCACAGGTGAACGGTCTAGTTGCTCTGCCGCGTTCATCCTCCCTACAACACAGGAGTTCTACTTTACAACTATGCCGCAAAGCAACGTTACCTGTGCAGTAATCGGGGTCACTTGCAACAATATGAACCTTAATTAAGGGTGGCTCACGCCTGGATGCGATATAGCTCCAATGAAGGGTAAAGACTTGGTGCCTAGCAGCGAAGTGACCTGATTAACGACACAGGGCTTATAAAGGAGGCCATTCAGGTCATGATGCGCTTTAGGAACACTTCATAGCATGTTGTAGGGGGTCCATATAGGGATTACAAAAATGGGTTTTACTCTTGCTACGCATTCCTTGGAATGCCACAAATGAGTGAAAATTCTGAAGAAGCCATTTGGAGCCACTCCGCTGAGCTCCTTTCCAAATGTGAAGTTAAGCATAGACAGCTAATGAGAAGTTTGTCGACCATGTGTCGAGAACAACAAATAAGGTGGAAAAAGTAACTTACTTGGCACGTAGTGAGATAGCGTTAAAGTTTCCAAGTGATTTTCCAAGCATCCCACCCGCACGCAGTGGGAAGGTATAGTGGCGCCAGATGGTCTCGGCGCCATTTATAAGTGTTAGCACCAGGGCCATTGATGTTAAAATGTAATGGTTTCGTTGCAAAGGATACGGCTGGAGGTAACCAGTTCCTCAATGAAAGCTTGTGCCATGGGAATCCAGAAAAGCCCAGGATGAACATGATTTTTTCGAAGTCGTACCAAATTTGAAAAGGCAAAATTTGTGAAGGTCGTTTCGCTCGACCTACTCGAGATGCAAGTTGGGGTGCCACTGCCAATCCAGGCCGGTCCACTACCACTAAAAACCTTCTCTTTGCTGAAATTTTGTATACAAGAGTGACCGATGGCCTTAGTCACGAATCTGACACTTATTTCTGGAGTCGAGGCTATTTGGCGCCAGCATGACGCTCATCAGCTGCGTGAGGTTAACAACGATTTCAGTGCAAAAAAAGCTCCCATACAGCGATAAGTTGCGCCATGGTCAGAAACTAGAGAGAACGAAACTGAGTGCCGTGCTCGTGAACAGGGCATCAAGCGAACCCGCCTCCCGAATTTCAGCAGGAGTCTCCTCAATAGTGTTTCGAGAGAGAAATGGCTAAGCATAGCTAGCGGCCGGTTCGTTAATTATTAGTGCATAGAGTGGAGAAATGACGGTTGCTTTGTACATCAAAAACTAATACTAGTCTCCTTTTTCTTGCTGTAACCTCCTCATTGTTGTTGATTCTGATTATATTGCTATGCCACTCGAGGTTTTTAGGTGGAAAACTTTATTCTACGGCCTAACGTTTCGACTTGGTCGTCCTCTTCAGAGGCCTAAACGCGTTTCGAGGTTGAGAAATGAACACTACCTTACTAAGCGCCCAACCAACCCTAGCAGTTCCGATGGTGTGTTCGGAACTCAACCCGAAAGCCCATACAACACGAAGAGTGCCCTCACCAAGCTTCCACCGTATATCCGCAATCACATGCGGCTAGTAGTCAATAGAGAATGGGACTTACTATAGCATCTCCTGACACGTCTAGAAGTGAGGAGACGCACGTAGCACTGCTACTTAGAGCTCGCAATACGGTATGTATGGCAGGTCATTTGTCACTGACGTACACTCATCTCGGCTGTTCATCCTAGGATTTCCGACTGAAATCCAAACCGCCTCTAACGCCTTCCTTGCCGAAATTTCCGTCTCCTGCGCCGATATCGTACACTTGATTTCAAAGTTGTTGCCGTCATGCTTCTCAGATTTATGCCTTCCAAGCGCTGTCGTGAGCCTATCACGTCTCATACCAGCTAGGTGCCCGTTTATTCGTATACCTAGCGGCCTTGCAGTCTCTCCGATATATGTGCGTCCACGCGCCAGACATTCTATTTGGTAGATCACACCCGATTTAGCGCAATCACCGAGTCTGCCGTGTGGACAAATAACACAATCACTAGATATGCACTGTTTATCGTACAGCCTGTTTCGAACCAGATACTGCTTGATGTTGCAGCTGGGGATGTTAACCTACTGAACAACATCTTGCAAATGTGCTCTAACAATGCTCCCTTGTATTGCAGTGCTTATCGTATCGGAGATAAAAGGAAGTTTGTTTGGACGCGGGCCTATATTAGAGCGCTGTCCTCCAGTGCGTTGTGGTACCGTATAACCGTTCATAGCAGCTTTCTCACAAGATAGGCGACATGATTCTTGACTTTCAGTTTCGTCTGTGCACATACTCGTTGCTGTTCTCAGCATGTTTTTAATAAATGCACGTTTAACGGCTTGTGGATGAGCTGACGTAGCGTGGAGCAAGATATTCTTTGAACTGGCTTTAAGGCACCACTTCACGCTGACAATGCCACTGGATACTTTTACTTGCGTGTTGGGGTAAGGAAGCCAACCGTCATGTGGTGTTTCTCGTGTGAGTCTAATGTACTGCGACTACTCATTCATTATCCGGAAACACTCGTCCATTTCGGACTGTGTTGACGTTATGATGAATTAGTCGTCGATGCAGTACATTATCGGATGACGTCGTAGCACTGGTTCTTCCGTCCTGCCCATGCAGCAAACAGCAAGAAGCGGTGCCAGTCGTCGACAGATGGCTAGCCTCTTACTTGTGAAAAATATGTTAATGCCCATCTAAAGATGTTGCAGCCTAGGCACTCCTTGAGTGCACTTTACTGAGCCCAAATGTTTGTATACTGCTAGCATGCCTATCGAGCATTTCGGACAATGCCTGTAAGGCTTGCTCGTTTTGGACATTGGTGTAAAATGAAACAACGTCGAAAGATTCAATTACAGTGCTCCGCCGAGGTCGGAGGACCGTTATATCAAGGAACTGCCTAGTGTTGGACAGGTGAGACGGAACCATGGTCAACAGTTGACCCACAATGCTGTTCAGAAACCACGAATTTCTGTCGGTTGGTCCCCCTACACAACTAATGGTAGGACGTATTTTATATGCATCCGATGATGTCGAGAGCGTGTTCTGAGGAGTGAGCTTATGGGTCTTCACGAGGCTGTAGAAAACAGGACAGTTTGGATGATCTACTTTCAACCTGCTGATGAACTTTTCTTCAAGCTCGGCAGACCTAGCAACGCCCAACCAAACATTATTCAGCTGCTTGCATTGAGCTAAAAGGTTCTTCTCAGCTACGCGGCGATAAACAGAGGAATCACTGAGAAGGAGTTCGCTTATGGCTCGATCGAGAGATTGAGACATAACGACGAACTCCCCACCCTTATCACTAACAGATATGCGCAACGTACAAATGACCTTAGCTCGCGCAATTCTTTCAACCCTTGTTATTGCTCATGCGTTAAGTTGCTGTTCCGAAGCTGCCTGTGTGGTTTAGAGCAGCTAGGACACTTGTTGACAAGATTCTAACTTAACGTCGGCTTCATGAACTGGCTCGGGTTCTCTACAGAAGGTGCGCGGAAAAGGTACACAGCTGAGCATTCGTGCGTTAGG